ACCAGACTTGGCTCCTTCCGACTACCATTTGTTTTCATCGATGGGACACGCATTGGCTGAGCAGCACTTTGATTCCTACGAGGAGGTCGAAAATTGGGTGTCTGATTGGTTTGCTTTAAAAAACGAACAATTTTATTGGCGTGGTATCCACAAATTGCCAGAAAGGTGGTCAAAATGTGTAGAAAACAATGGCCAATACTTTGAATAAAATGTTTTATACTTTCCCATTAATGATTAGTGTTTTATTTTCACAAAAAACGCTCATTTCATACCGGTATACCTGGTATATATATATATATATATATATATATATATATATATATATATATATATATATATATATATATATATATATATATATATATATATATATATATATATATATACAACCCTCGGATTTAGGAAAAATAAGATCGACAATAATTTGCTAACCTGAATCTTTTAGTGGTCAGCATCAGGTCGACAAAATAATTTGATACAAAGGTCTTACCATAAAACATAGAAACCAGGTCCGCAACTTTTTGCTGACCTCAAACACTTTAAGGTCAGCAGTTAGATCAGCATTGCTGAATGCCAACCTTAATTCCGAGGGTTGTGTATTATGTATATATATATATATATATATATATATATATATATATATATATATATATATATATATATATATATATATATATATATATATATATATATATATATATATATATATAATATATATATATATATATATATATATATATACATATATATATATATATATATATATATATATATATATATATATATATGTATATACATATATATATATATAAATGTATATATATAAATATATATATATATAAATATATATATATATATATAAATATATATATATATATATATATATATATATATATATATACACATATATATATTTCAACTCTCGGAGTTATCGGGTGGACTCGGAAAAATCTGGTCAACTTTAAATTGAGATTTCTCCAAAACCACAAATGCTTTTTATTTAATTTTTTTTTAATTAAACCTTATTTCCTTATCTTAAATGGTGTTGATAAATTTTTGTTTACAAATTAATGATTTGCAAAATGTTTTGGAAACAAATTGAGTTGCGTAAAAAAGTTGTGAATTTTTTTGTAAAAGTCTATCGACTTTCTATCGCTTGATTGCTAAACACACAAATGTCCCAAAACCTACAGTCATAGATATAATAAACAAGTTCCCGACTACTCAAAGCTTCAAAAGAAAACTTGAAAGTAGAAGAAAAAAGACTTTCCATAAATCCAAAAATATAAAGTCGTAATTTTTCGTTCAATAGCAAGAAATCTAAACCAGTCACAGCGAGATCTAGCAAGAAAATTCATTCTTATATCAAAAAAGTACTGAAAAATGATGGAATTAAAGCATTTCATAAAAAAAATACACCTAAGAGAAGCTTAAATTGTGAAATTAAAGAAATTCGACGCACAAAGAAGTTGGTTAAAGTAATGGCAGATAAAACTATGTGTATAATTGAAGACGACGAAACGTATTGCAAGGCGGATTTTTCACAACTTCCTGGTCAACAGTTTTACTATGAAAACAAAGATAAACCTGTTGATGATCAATTTAAATATATTCGACAAGAAAAATATGCATTCAAGTTCCTTGTGTGGCAAGCGATTTGTAGCTGTGGTATGCAGTCCTCTTGTTTCGTCACTAAAAAGACCTTGACTGCCAATCTCTACATCAAAGAATGCCTCCAAAATAGACTTTTGCCTTTTATAAAAAAACACAAATACCAATGTCTCTTTTGGCCCAATCTTGCTGCCTCTCACTATTCTAAAAGTTCTACAGTGGTGCAAAGATAATAATGTGAAAATTGTTCCTAAAGATGCGAATCCTCCAAATCGTCCTGAAGAGCGCAAGATTGAAGATTTTTGGGCAATAGTTAAAGGAGAGGTGGAGTAACTAATAACAAAAAAGGTCTTCCAAAAAAAGTGTATTAATGCCACCAATATGGTGAAAAAAGAAAAAATCTGTGAAATGACATCAACACTGTATAAAGTTCGATTTCTTGCCAAACAACCCATCAAGCCTCTTAAAATTAAATTGAAACTCTAAGTTATGTAAACACATTTAATAATAAAAAAATTGAAATAAAAAGCATTTATGGTTTTAGAGAAATCTCAATTTAAAGTTGACCAGATTTTTCTGTGTCCACCCGATAAGGTCAGCATTCAGCAATGCTGACCTAACTGCCGACCTGAAAGTGTTTGAGGTTGGCAAAAAATTGCCGACCTTGTTTCTATGTTTTATGGTTAGACCTTTAAATCAAATAATTTTTGCCAACCTGATGCCGACTTCAAAAAGATTGAGGTCAGCATCAGGTCAAAAAAAAAAAACTTCATTTAATGAATCATATTTTCTTTATCTTACACATTTAATTGTATACCTTTAGCACTTGATCCAGTTTTGTCTGTACAACTTGAATTGATAAAAAGTGAAAATTTTAGTTTCTTTTGCCATATACTTGTTACTGTTTTCTCAATTTGCTTTATGCATTCTCATCTTGTTCTGATGGATTTTTCCAGGAATCTTCTTGCAATTGTTCTTCTAACGGAACAGTTCTTCTTTTCCTATGTGACACATAAAATTGTATAAGGTTCTTCATCCAGATTATCTTGTTTCTTTTAGTAGTGGAAGCACTTTTCTTATAGGGCATTATGATTGAAGATAATACTTGAAAAAATTTCTGAAAAGCAATAAGAATAAATTTAAGCGTTATTGTACTTCTATATTAGTTGGGTTCCATCTGGGGAATGAAGATTTTTATCTAATTTTTAGCATTTGATTTTCAAAAATAGCCGGTGGCTATTTTTGAAAATCAAAAACAAAATATTTTACTTTTACTAAAGTTTTTTTTTAAATAGTGTTTTAATGCGTCATCAACTTAAATGCATTTAAAAAAAAAAAAGCAATAGTTAAAATTAATAAATGAAAAAAAAAAGAAAAATGGTAATAAAATATTTGTTTATTAAATAAGGTATTTTTAATATATTATATATCATATACATTAAAGCAATTAATGTATATGATATATAATTATTATTTTTATTAGTATGAAAATAGTTATGAAAAAAAAACAATAGAGGTTTCAATAAAGTTTTTTGTTTTGTTTTCCTAAAGATGAAATAAAGGTAATGTGGGGTTACTTTAACATAAAACAAAATTAATTATCTGTCAATAATATTAGATAACTAAATAAATTCTTCATCTGTTTATGGCAGCATTATCATTGGTAAACTTATAGAAGTATTGCATACCAAGTTTAGTTTGTTAAAAACAGCTGAAAAAAATATTTTTCAAAGGTGTGTCAATGTTACCCCCATTTTACCATGTGTATGAATATATGTTGCAGACAAGACAAAAAATATATATATATATAAAAAAAGAAGTAGTTATTTTGGTGCTTTTTTAGGCACTCATAACTGCTCCAAGGGTACTAACACATGTTTGAATTTGTTTCTCTCAAAATATGTTAATCAATTAGAATATTATGTTGCAGAAGTTGCCATAGGTCTAAACTGCTATACAACTTAACACTCTGGACAAAAAAGTAACCAACCTAAAATAATAACAGACTCTTAGTTACTTTATATCATTATCATGATGATGATGATGATGATAATGATGGTGATGATGATGATGATGATGATGATTATCATCATCATCATCATCATCATTATTTAGTATCTTTGTTTCACTTAAAAATTATTTTAATGTTATTCACCTCCCAAAGGCAAAGGAGGCCACTATATTTGAAGAGACTATTATTATTGTAAGGATTATGAATTATTTTGATTTTTTAATTTTATTATTTTTAATTGTAGTTACAACTCTCTCTTAACATCAAAACACTAACCCTGGCGAACAAGGTGTTGTGCAAAAAAACAAGTTAAGTCCAGTACTAGCAGGGATGTGGTGGGGATCAAACTTGGAACTTCTTTTTTTTTTTTTATTTTAATTCACCTCCTCAAGGCCGAGAAGGCCACTACAGACAAGGAGGCTACTTATTTGTGGCTATAACCCTCTTTCAACTCTATAACTCCGAAACACGAACCTTGACGAACAAGGCCGCTGCGCCGAGAAACGAGTTGAGCGCGGTACTACCAGGGACGTGGTGGGGATCGAACTCGGAACCACTCATTTATGAAACGAGCGCACTACCACTACACCACTACTGCATTAAAAATCTTGCTTGTATATATATATATATATATATATATATATATATATATATATATATATATATATATATATATATACAGTGATGTATCCAAAAATTTTTTGGGCATACCAGTCTAAAAATCCTGTCTACCTTAATAGGTTATTTTTTTTAATTTAAACACAAATTTTAATATAGTTATTTATTGTTATATAACTTGTGCTATTATTTTAAGATTTTTCTTTTAAAAATGTAAACAATCAACCAAAATAATGATACATTTATTACAAAATGACGGCTTTAACGCCAATGTCAATTTGCCGCTAGTTTTTATTTACTTGCTTTATTCGCTTACTAATATAAAGAGTATTAATTCACAATCAAGCAATAATTATAAAATTTTATAAAGACAATATTTATATTATAACAATATTTGTATGTTTCTTTTATACAGACTTAAAAAGATTTATTACATAGCGTATTTATTGCATAACAAGGTCAATTCATTCAAAATTTTAATTAATTCATTTAAAAATTAATATCTTTTTTTTCTTGTTCTTCTCTTACTTTTCAAATCAAGTTTTTTGGCGCGATTGTTATAATGTTATTATGTTTTAAAAACATTTATTTGTTTTACTATTTAAAATATTTTTAATGCAATTTTAATTAAATATATATATATATATATATATATATATATATATATATATATATATATATATATATATATATATATATATATATATATATATATATATATATATATATATATTAAAATAGTTCAAATTTTATTGTCTAGGGCTTCAGTCAGCCGAACAATGAAAGCCATTGCAGAAGCTTGTGGAGATAATTATAGGCCTTCAGAGTGGTATGCCACAAAAGTAAGTGCATACCTTAAAAAGACTGAGAAAATTCCTTAATTACGTTTTTTTTTTTTTAAAGCAATTTATTTATATATTATTACTAAGGTCATTCCATACAAAATATCAAATTAACATTTCAAATATTTTTAAATTTACACCTTTTACAAGTTTGGTAAAAAGGATTTCCTCAAAATATTAACCCAGCATCTCTAAATATTTAAAAGTTAGCACTATTTGAAAATTTTTTTTTGAGCAATTTTTTTGTCTTTTTTATAAACTCTATGTTTAGATAATTTTAGAGATTAATAACAAAAACTAATCATCTTAAATAATTAGAAAATATATAAATGGTAGTTATCCTCCTCAACTTTTAGTGAAATAAAAGTTTACATTTAAAAAATATTTTTTTGTTCTGTTTTGAATTTAAAAAAAAAGAACTTTGTCCTCAAAAAAAAAAAAATTTTAATATTCCTATTTGTTGAATGTTTCAAAATTTTTATGATATTTGTTCGAACTCTTGTTTAGAAGTATTGATAATTGTGCAACCTGAGTAAACTTTTATTTAGAAGTATTTATTGATGTAATTGTGCAACCTTTACTTAACTCGGGCCGATATTTTGGTTCTAAATACCATCATAGCTAGTCTTTCTTGAATTAGATTGTAACTACAAAATAAAACCGTGGCGCAGTGGAGCATGTGTGTTTCATAATAGTTACACTAAGCAAAGTATTTTATTGTCTTACTGAATATTGAAATCAATTATTTTATTTGGTTTTGCATGTTTTTTGTGAATTTTGTGCAAATAGACACTTTTTAATACAGGAATTATCTTAATTCCAATTATTTCCGGAATTCCTGATATTTTTTTCAATTTTAAGTTTTTCTGGATATCCAAAACATTTTCCATACATGCAAGTTAAGGTATATTTTTTTGTGATATATTTGTTCTTTAAGCTTTTTCACTCATCACTCATAGAAAAATTATGAAAAGTTTTAGAAAAAATTTAAAACAACTCAGCTAAATGCGAAATTAAAAAGAAAATAACGGAAAATATATTTTAAATTTTGGCATTTAACCAGTAATATGAATTCAACCATTTAGAAGTATTGATTGATGTAATTGTGCAAACCAGTATTATCAGTATTATATGCAACCTTACTTTTACTAAAGCATTTATGTAATAGAAACTCAAAGTTTTTCTTTACTTCATCTTGTTGCATAAACTTTGTATAAGCATCTAAATCACCTGCAACTTTATGCGCAATATACCACTCATTGTTATACTCAAACAAGGTACATTTCAGTATTATCAAATTTATTAAAAGTTATCTTTGCAATATGAATTCCAGCTTTCTTCGTTATTAGAATTCCATCTTTGCAATAGGCTAATCAAATGGTTTGCATATGAATTCCAGCTTTCTTCATTATTAGTTGCATTAAAATATCACCTGATATATGTTTCATTTATAGCTTTCTATCATTACTTGGTATAAAACTGTGATGGTGACCCTTTTCCAGAAAATCTTTTAGAGTATTGGTTATCAAGCTTAGCATTTTTTATGATGTTAATTTTAATAATTTCAAAAATATTGATAAATTTGATACCTGTTTTTTTTTTAGTACACCATTTAATCTTTTCATTGATTGATAATATTTGTTTATTTTGCAGACTAGTTCTTGCTACAAGTTGTGTTACTGCCACACCAATATCATAGCATGGAATTTTTTTATTATTGTTGCAAAAGAAATGCCACTCTGCATAAATTCTGTGCTTATGTAAATAATAACAGATTGTTAAGAGTTTTATAGCCACTACTTTTTTAGGCTCTTTTAAAAATAATTAATTTTCATGAACCCTAACCCTAAAGTTTCATGCCTTAAGGCAATCATCAGCTGTTAATATAAACAAAAAACATAAACAAACTGTTACAAAAAAAATTAATTGAGAATAAGTTCTGATGTGATAAACAAATCTAAGTAAAAAACAAAACAAAAAACAAAAAGCTGTTATAGTTTACTAGTCTCCTCTGTTATAGTTTGCTAGTCTCCTGTTATAGTTTACTAGTCTCCTGTTATAGTTTACTAGTCTCCTGTTATAGTTTACTAGTCTCCTGTTATAGTTTACTAGCCTCCTGTTATAGTTTACTAGTCTCCTGTTATAGTTTACTAGTCTCCTGTTATAGTTTACTAGTCTCCTGTTAGTGTTTACTAGTCTCCTCTGTTATAATTTAGTAGTCTCCTGTTATAGTTTACTAGTCTCCTGTATTAAATAATGATAATAAGATTTTTTTTTTTTATTGACATTAAGATATATATATATATTTTTTTATTGAGTAGGTTTTTACCATTATCTGATAAAATAATATATTTTTCGTAGAGACAAAGGTGGCATATTTTTGTTGTTAGATTGTAAGATTTGCAACGTTTAACAATTTTCCAATTTATAATAGGCTTGGTGCCAAAATACACCTTTTTTAATTACGATCATGATGACTTGAACTTCAGTTGCATAGACAATGGTAGGCAATGGTTGTTCAAATGTTATGTTATGAAAAGTAAAGACAAAGCATTGATAAAGCATGTATAAAAATATTTCATTTTATCACATAATAGTAAAAACCTAATGACTAAAAAAAAATGAAATTGTATCTCAGTGTCAGCATTCAAAAAAATACCTATTATCATTATTTGTCACCAGAGACTAGTAAACTATAACAGCTTTTTGTTTTTTACTTAGACTTGTTTATCAAATCAGAAATCATTCTACAGCAAATTTTATTTTACACTTTTTGTTTGTATTAATGGCTGATGATTGCCTTTGAGCATAGAACTTTAAATCTTGCTAATCAGTTACTTTTATTCATCTAAATATATATATATATATATATATATACATATATATATATATATATATATATATATATATATATATATATATATATATATATATATATATATATATATATATATATATATATATATATATCTATTTATATATACATACATACATTCATATATATTTATATACATATATGTATATATATATATATATATATATATATATATATATATATATATATATATATATATATATATATATATATATATAATTATATATATATATATAATTATATATATATATATACAATTTTTAGAATTTTGCTTCAAAGTACTATGAACTGTTGAATACTTCGTCAATATCCAAGTTAGTGAAGTTCTTAACTTTTAGTTTTTTATTGTTTAGACACTGATTTTTTTTAATTCGACTTAAGTTATTTTTTTATTACTTGTTTTAATAGCTCAAATAGGACACTTAAAAATAAAACTATGTTCTAGTCCTGTGGTTGTAATAAAAACTTTTGAAACAGTTTGTTTTAATTAATTGTTTATATTTTTAAAGGTAAAAACAAATTTTCTGTGTTACAAATATTAAATGAAATCAAGAATTCATTATTTTTATTTTCAGAAAAAAAAATCTGACATTTTTTAGTCTTTGTATAGTAAAGATTTCTATGACAAATTTTTTTAGCCCTTCTAATAAGTGATAAATAAAACAAAGCATTATCAGTCAAAAGTTGGGTAAGTTATGTCAGTTTTAACAGTCCATTAACTGAAAACAAATGCAGTTGTTTATACCATAAATAAAAACAAAGAACTTTGTTTTTATTAAAGTTTCTTGCATTTAAAACAACTATAACAAATGAAAGTTAAATGTATAATATCTTGCATGAGCAAATTGAGTGTTTTCATAAAAAGGAAAGCTATATCTATGTCACTAACACAAACCTAAGTTCTTATATAGATATAATTAAAGTTGGAATTACTGCCTACTTTTTCGCATCCTTTTCGCCTACTACACTTTTATGAATGCAATTATAAAAAAGTAGAAGCAACCTGACAGAACCACAAATAGTTGTTGTTGAAGGGAAAAATTAACAACAGGAGACTAAAGAAGAGCATTTAAAAGATGACACCATATTTATTTAGCAATGTACTTGTAACAATTAGTTCTTTAGTAAGTAAAAAATCAGTTTACTATTTATTTAACATAAGCCATATACTTATAATATGCATATTTAACATATTTATCTGCATATTTAACATGTTTATCTACATATTTAACAACAAGTGTTTTGCCAGCTCTTCTTGGAAGTAAATGTTTTTGGTGAAGAATAAAAGTTTCAACAATTTATTCAATTGCGTTAAATAAAAAAACAATGCTAGGTATCCACAACTTGAACAAGAAATTATACAAAAGTTTAGCTTAAAGTACTTTATGTGAGTACTTCAAACAAGAAATTATACCAAAGGTTAGCTCAAAAATTACTTTATGTGCTCATAGTTTATGTATTTTATTATGGATTTTGTTGTTTTAGTATCTACAAAAATTTTTTTTATTCAAATACTTGAAAACTATGGAATTTTTTCAAAACAACTTATATTTTGCTGAAATAAAACTTTCTTACCATTGTAGTTTATATACCTTTTATCTTACTTTGAGCTAAAGGCTCAACCCATTTAATAATGATCTTCTTTACTTTATTGAGCAAGTAATTGTCTAATCAATTAATTATAGTTGTTAAATATTTTAAAATATTGAAAGTAATAAATGTACTGTAATGCTAGCTAATAAACTATAACAACTAAACACTGTTAAACTCTAAGCAAAAAAAACAATGAATTATGGGAAATATATTTTTTCAAAAATTAAATAAATAAATAAATATAAATGAGTTCTTTTTTTAATATTAAATAAATTTTTTTTTAATATTTAATAAAAATAAATATAAATGAGTTCTTTTGCAATTTATTTTGCAAACCTTTTCATTGAATACTTTTTGAATCAATGAAAAAAAAAAAAAAAATCATGAAAAAACTATTATGTATGAATTATTTTACTTAGAATTTGAATAAAACCTTTGTTTTTCTGTTTTTATTTTAACTTTAAATAGCAAAAAAAGATAAATCTTTTAAATTGCGCATACCAACCTAAAAATAATCTTATATGACCGGTTGATAAGAAATCAGAGATTTAAAAGCAAGATTTGACAAATTTGGAAAATGCATATACTAAAGTTTTACAAAATCATTTAAATTTTGAAAAAACATTTAAAATAGTTTTCTTGTTATAATATGCTATTTTAATTGCTAGCGAGTCGTTCAAGCGAAAAGTTTTAAAGTGAAAAGAAGTTAAACCTTTTCTTTAATTCTTATGTTTTTTAATACTGCCTGGTTTTTATCTTTATTTTAAAAAAATTTCATTAAATTTAATTTTTATCAATTTCAATAATTAATAAATAATAATTTTATATTATTAATTCTGCTACTTAAAATATATTTGAGTATATACTTACTTTATTGTTGTTAAAACTTTTATCTATTTGATAATAATTATTGCATATCCATAGAAATCAGTTTTTTTCTGCTTTAACAACCCTGAACTCATTAATTTACTTTGTTGTCAAAAGTATTATACACAACGTAAAATACATCTATTACGTTTTTTTGCTTCACTTGTTATAATAAAAAAACTTTATATAATATTTTAATAGTAATATAATTATATATGATAAATTATGTATTTAACTATGAACACTTTTTCTTTTATTTGCACTTTGTCAATTTGTCAAGTTTTTTAAAAATCTTTTTATTTATTTTCTTGTTATTCTATTACTCTTATAAATTATAGGAAGTGAGATCGTAGTTAGTTAGGTGTCTGAAATATATTTATTTTAAATTTGATTTAAAAAGAGAAAATATTAAAAAAAAAGAGATGCTTGTATTTTCAAAATACTAGCCTTTGCGTATTTTTTTTTTTTTTTTGGTTTGGTGTTAATAAGAACTCTTTAAAATTAAATAAATAATTAAATTCTATTTAATAGTTAATAGCGAAATCTATAAGGGCACTAAAAAGGTACTGTCCTGGGCGGCGTGAAGGCTCTTGGCGCCCCTAGTAATATGACTATTTTATTTAACATGTTTAAAAACCAATAGTAATAATTTAATAATTTGGAATATATAGTAGATAATTCACTTAGCATTTCTTTGTAGTTGTTGTTCAAGATTTTAAAATTAAATTATTATTGTAACTTATATATTTAAATAATTATATTAACAAAAAAAACCATAATTGTATTAACAAAAAAATCAACATTAAAAAAATGGCTTCCATTTATTATTTAAAAAATACAGTTATAAGCAAATAATAAAATTTATTAAAATCATCTCAGGTGCTTTATTGCGCATTGTTAATTATCTATTTTAAGAGATTTTTTAACTTATTGATCATAATATCACTGTCTATGTATAATGTTGTTTTGAACTTTAAGAAGCTTTTTAAAATTCTGACCCTCTAAAACTTTTAAAAACACTTAGAGAAACTTGCTTTTATTACAAACGTCTTTGCATGATCAAGTCAGCGCATTAAACAAACAGTAGAGACTTTATTTTACAATAAAACTTTTTTTTTTTATTGTAAAATAAAGTCTCTAAGAATCTAAAAATATAAGATAAAAATAAAAGCAACTTAAAAAAAGAAATCGAGATAATATAACAAAAATCCAACTGCCAGAATTTGATGATGAAGATAACATTTTTATCATGCTAGATGGAAAAATTTTGTATACATCAAAATGTTTGCTTTTGCTGAATTGGTAGAGTATGAAGGAAGTTATCATGAATGAAAGAAATTATCATGGTTTTGTAAATTTACAATGCTATTTTAGGTGAAAATTTGACTTACATGCACAAACAAAATTGATGCATCATTTAATTACTTGGAGTTTGACAAAAAATCTTTATTTATAAAAGATTGACAATGATGTTGCTGTTGCTGCCTTTGAAAAATTTAATTGGCATCTTTGATATTTAACAAAAGAAATGTCTCCTCTCTCACTATTTTCTGATGAGGTGATTGTGATAAATCTATAATTGCTAAAATAATTCTTAAAAATAAAGAGAAATCTGGGAACTTTCCACTATTTCCTCTTTTGAAGTACCAAGTACTTCTTTAAATGATATATCTGGACCAAAATCAAACAAATTTAATTGGATATTCAAACAAAGATGGTGGTTGGTTAGCCAATTTTTTAAAAATACTTAACACATTTACTAGCAATTGTTACTAAATGTGTTAAGTGTTTACACGCTATTACTAACAATTGTCTTATATGCAAAACTTCTTATTTATTTTATTATAGACGTAAAATTCGTGGTGTTTCTTCGGACTCTTCTAACATTGGTATCAATTGTTAAACAATTTTTTCAAAAATTCAAAATGTTTTTTATTACATCTTATTATAAAATGTTAATTTTTTAAAATTTTATCACAATAAATTTTTTATTTTAAAGACATTTTTTAAAATAGAAACACCTACTGAACAAGTACAACGAAAGTTAACATTTGCTCGACTTGAAGAGTTAGATAAACTAATTAAGGGAGAAAAAGAGAGATACAGGTTTTGTTTGTAATGTTTCCATAGATATTCAGATTTTGTTTTTTTGTTTGCCATAGAGATAAAAGTTTTGTTAATATTGTTTCCAATAGCTCACTTAAAATAGAATAATAGAAAAAATTTGTTGCTTTAGATTAATGATTAAAAATGTTATTAGTAATTTTTTTTTAGTAAGTTGAAAAGAGACATTGGCAAAATTCAAAGTGGCAAGTTGGATTCAAAACTACCTGATATTATAAAAGCTATAAAGAGGTTACTATTATCTTCAGTTTTATCTTGTTGTTATTTCTATTATTATTATTGCTATTATTATTATTATTTCTTTTATTAATAACAATATTTTCTCTCTAATGAAGTATAATTTATTTTATGTTTATGTTATCCTTTTTTTATTTCATTAATTTTTATTTTTGTGATTAAATTGCTTTATGTAGAAACCATATTTAAATGTGGTTTGTTATAGACTATATTAGTATTTACAATTAATGTAATGCAATTAATGTAATTATAATCTATATACAAAGTAATTACAATTAATGTAATTACAATATACTAATGCAGTATATTATAATTGTCATATACAATATACTACATTATACATATTAGTATATTGTAGTTAGCCATATGAACCACTTTCCACTCTTTTTATATCATACCATTCAACAGTTAGAACAATGTTTTAAAAATATATATTAATGAGACAAAAAATTTGGGCTTTTCAATTCTGAATATGACAACGTCGTGACAACGTCGTAACAATGTCACAAAAGAAAATTATTCAAAGATAAAAGTATACATAAATAAATTTTTTATTTTTTTTTAAATAAATAACATGTTTAAAAAGATTTTGAAAAATAGTTTTTATAAAATTCTGATCATGTTGTTAACCTTTTATGTGGTAGTGGTGTAGTGGTTGTGCTTCCTAAGAAAAAAATTTTAAATTCAATCTCCACCATTTTTCTGATAGCTCGTTCAACTTGTTTGTATTATGTACCTTGTTTAGTTTGTTTTTCCACGCAGGAGCCTTGGTCAAAGTTTTTGTTTTGAAAATTTTTTTTTTTAGAGAAAAAAAATAAAATCAGAGCTTTGAAAATGAAATTGAAGCATGAAAAATGAAATTGAAAATAAAATATGAAACAATTGAATATAAAAATGACCTAAATCAAAAATTTATCACAACAAATACATGTACATACTAGAAGTAGTAAAATTCTATCAACAAGAGTTGACAATCAAGTTCTAAGCATTAGAGTGATCCCTTTTGTTTAAGGAGTTATGTATAAACCTCAGTTATCTATGTATTGGCGCTTTAGATTAATAGGCCTTGCACTACTTCCCCTAATTTTCAGAATTTATGAGTCAAAATAGTTTTTATCTACATCTTTACATTTGATCAATGTTTTCAGATAGAATGTTTCCAGGTACAATTTTTCCAGCATTAAAGATAAAAGTTGTGGTTGTAATTATTTAGAGAAAACTGAAATTAAAAGTGAATATGAAACTAAATTAAAAGTGAATATAAAACTTCTTGATGTTTTACAAGAAAAATTCAATACTGTGTAAAGCTAGACAAAAAATCTGAGTGTCATTATTTGTTTTTTCAAATTTAGATGACATTAAAGCAGTTTATAAAAACAAAGCAAGGTTGCTAGATTAAGCTAGGTTGCTAGGTAAAGCTAGGTTAGTTATAATGCTTTTTTAGTTGACCACATCTGATGTTATCATGCTAAATTTTTCAATTTACTGCAAAAAAAGGTATTTGCTTTATTCTATTCACCTCTCCAAAGCTGTGGAGACCAATATAGCATAGCAGGCTAATCATTTTTTATTGTTTTAAAGTTGTTTTTGCAACCCTCTGATCCCTTTACCTTCAAAATACAAGTCTCGATAAGCAAGGCTCATGCGCAGAGGAACAATATAAGCACTGTATTATTAGGAGAGTGGTAAGAATTGAATTACTGCATATTAACAGCACCATATCTTTCACAGAGAATAGCCTTTGTGTTGATGAAGGGTTTTCTTAGAAAACGTCACGTTTTAAAAGGTCATGTTTTGTATACAGATAGTTATAACTATTGCCAGACTTAAATTAGAAAATTTCTTAGAAAAAAAAGTTCATTTATATGGATTAAAATGATCAAACTAAAAAGATTATCATCACCCGTTTATTAAAATATTTGAAAATTGATAATGGAGACAACTTTAAAAAATCTGCTGGTCATATAGGTGGTTTAGATCATATTGATTAGCAACTTTCCTGGCAATTGGAAAATCTTATAAATGATATTGTAAGTTAGAACTAATGACTCAAACTATATAAACTATAATAATAATAAACTAAAATATAAATAAAATATAAATGTTTATAAAATAATAAAATATAATTGTTTAATAAATAAAATATAAATGTTTATGTTAAATAAAATCAATTAAAGAATTTCACCTTCAAAATAAAAAGTAAAAACTTCAAAGAAAAAATA